CAAGCCAGGAGACCAGATGCAAAAATATTTGCATATGGGTATGTGTACCACAGGATGAAGGCCAAGGGCCTGGATTTGAGGCACGGGTGGTCATCTTGGTAGAAAGCATGATCCCACGCTCTACCTGGAGAGGTCCTGAACGTCTGACCCATGGAAGCCCCTTCCGGGGCATGAGTCTTCTGCACCTGGCTGCTGCTCAGGGCTATGCACGCCTCATCGAGACCCTGAGCCAGTGGCGGTGAGCAGGACAGGAGGGAAGGGGCTGGACAGTCATTGGGTCTGAAGGTGCCAGGGGATGAGGATCTGGAACACCACTGCAAAGGGGAAGCAGGGGTCTCTATGGGAAAGGACAGGGCTGGAAGAGGACTGGCATTTGGGATACTTTTGATAACCTTTGACTTCCTTAAATTTACTAGTCTCTTTCTGCCTCATCTCACTGGCCTTAGTGCTTCTAGAGCTCACTTTCCTGTCCCTTTATTTCTGATGTTCTGGACTTTTCCCCCTTTTCTCTGACTGGGCTCTGCTGTCCTTCTCTCAAACCCTCCAGGAGTGTGGAGACTGGAAGCTTGGACTTAGAACAAGAGGTTGACCCACTCAACGTGGATCATTTCTCTTGCACCCCTCTGGTAAGGATGCCGGCTCCTGCAAGCCTTCAGAGCAATATGCAATGGAATGGTGCTTCAAAGGGAAAATTATTTGGGCAATGCAGAGAAAGGGGCAGGCCAGAGTGTGAGGACCTAACCTCCTGGGGAAGAATCCAGGCCTCACCTCCACCTCCCTCTCCTCAGATGTGGGCTTGTGCCCTGGGACACCTGGAGGCTGCTGTGCTTCTTTTCCGTTGGAACCGTCAGGCACTGAGCATTCCTGATTCTCTGGGCCGTCTACCCCTGACTGTGGCTCACTCCCGGGGTCACGTACGCCTTGCCCGCTGCCTTGAGGAACTGCAGAGGCAGGAAGCTTCAATTGAACGCTCACTTGCCCTGTCACCGCCTTCCTCCAGCTCAGACACTGGTGAGGGCTGCCCCTGATCTTTTTGAGTGAGGGGTATGGTTAGGATAGGCCAGGGAAAAGCCAAAGGGCAGGAGATAAACTGGGAGAGAAAGAGGCAGGGATGGGGAGATAACAGGAGCAAGAACAGCCAGGGGAGGGAGGGTAGGAGACTTGAGGGATAGCCTGTAGCTCCTGCTGCCCTCACCCTCTTCCCTCACCTCACAGGTCTGAGCAGCGTCTCCTCACCCTCGGAGCTATCAGATGGCACTTTCTCCATCACATCCGCCTACTCTAGTGCCCCGGATGGCAGTCCTCCCCCTGCTCCTATGTCAGCCTCTGAGATTACTATGGAGGAGATGGTCCCAGGCCAACTCTCCTCTGATGCCCCAGAGGCACCCCTACTCCTCATGGACTATGAAGCTACCAACTCCAAAGGGTCCCCACCCTCCCCTCCTGTCCTCCCACCAGCCCCAGATGATGGGGCTGCTCCAGAGGACACCGACAGCTCACCTGCTGTGGATGTGATCCCGGTACTGTTTATGCTGATGGAATTAGGAGGGTTAAAAGTGGAGTGGGGTGCAGAGGTGGAGTAAAGCAAGACAATTTCATGAAGCAGAATCAGTGTCTGACTTCAGTTTGGGAAGAAAGGCCATTTATTCTCATTTTGGGACAGGCAAAGTAACCCCTTTGCTCCACTCCTTTCAGATCCTGTAACTCAGCAGTCAATAGGCAGCAGAGATTAGAAATCTGGGGAATATCTTAGAGCTGTGTTGTAGGGTTACCTGTTGATCATAAAAGGACAGGATTCTTGAAGTACCACGGAGATGGTAGGCAGCTGGGGAAATGTATAAACAGACAAGATGTAGGTATTTGACAGTGTGGTCTAAAATGCAAAGAAGACTTGCACATGGTAAAAGCTAAGACAGTCTGGTGGAATGAATAAAAGAATCTTCAAATGTAACCACATATTCCTCTACTAGAATCTGGGGACATACTTGCTTTAAAGAGGCTGAATAATTAGGTAGCAGTCTCTAAGTACAAAAAAACTTGAGAACTCCACAGTGTGGGATACATGGAATCTGGTCAACAGGAAGTGCTACAGGCTTTAGGGCTGGAGCCATTCACTAAAGTGTCATGTGGTCAGCAAGAACTGAGTGGTTCTCAAGAGAGCTGAAGGGATTGGGGTGCAAGCATAGCCAAACCTATGGGGAGGATGTGCTATTGGCTGGCACTAGGCAGGTCCAGGTGGGACAGTTAGAAGGATAGCATTTGCTCAACTCCTGAATCCCCATTTGGAGTATGTCCTCTTATTCTATGTTCTCCACATCTCGCACAAAAGGCTGGACCCTCAAGGGGGAGCCAGCAAGAATTAATGAATCTAGAACAATGGCTAATGAAGAAAAGAGCAGGAGAGCAGTCCCTGAGGACTCAGTATCTGATGTTGAGAAGGAACCAGACAAGGAGCAGACTGAGGTGACAGCTTTGACAGGGCAAGGACATCTGGAAGTTGGGGCCTCTCATGGCTCATGCTGCTTCTCCCTTTATCTAGGTGGACATGATCTCACTAGCCAAGCAGATCATTGAAGCCACACCAGAACGGATTAAACGAGAGGACTTTGTGGGGCTACCCGAGGCTGGCAGGGAGCAGACTGGGGCCGTGGGGCTCAGTGAGACCATGTCCTGGCTGGCCAGCTACCTGGAGAATGTGGACCACTTCCCCAGTTCAGCCCCTCCCAGGTGATCAGATAGGACAAAATCTCCAGATTCTTCTTCAAAGAAAGATGGGAGGAAGGGAAAAAAGCACAGCTTCCCTACAGCCAAAGCTCCATTCTGGTTGAGGCCCTAGGCCATTTGGAAAGGAAACTGAACTGAATGATGTGCTTGGAAGCCACTCTCTCCCGTTGCTGGGGATCTTCCTTCACAGCCACCCCTCAGTGGGACAACAGGGATTTCAGATGCTCCTTGACATTCCTCCTCCTTATCTCCCACAGTGAACTGTCCTTTGAGCGAGGCCGCCTGGCTATCCCTCCAGCACCTTCCTGGGCAGAGTTTCTCTCTGCATCTACCAGTGGCAAGATGGAAAGTGATTTTGCCCTGCTGACACTATCAGATCATGAGCAGCGGGAACTGTATGAGGCAGCCCGAGTCATCCAGACGGCATTCCGAAAGTACAAGGTCAGGGGTCTCGGGATAAATTACACAATATTGAGACTGGGCTCTGAAGGCTTTTGGAGAAAGAGCAGCCCTCAGATAGGATGAAGAGTCAGAGGACCCTGGAAGAGTGGAGAATAGGCCCAGTGTCTGTTAAGCGGGTAGTGAGATACTAAGACCCTCTCCCCTCAGGGCCGGCGGCTGAAGGAGCAGCAGGAGGTAGCAGCAGCTGTGATCCAGCGCTGTTATAGGAAGTACAAGCAGGTGAGACCTTTTTCTTGAAAGCACACTACCAGCCCACACCCATTCCAGCCCAGAGCACCCAGAATGCTGCCAGGGCCCTAACTCCCCTTCTCTCTCCACAAGCTGACTTGGATTGCTCTTAAGGTATTAGGCATGAGATCTGGGTGAGAGTTGTTTGTGATTCAGTCTTTTTTGTGATGTGGGGTTAGAGAGAGACCTGCATCAACCTAACTTTGGGGTGACCTTTAGGGATTTAGGTCTTTGACCTTTCATTTCAGCCCATCCCTCCTCCCCACCCTTGTAGTTTGCACTCTATAAGAAGATGACCCAGGCAGCCATCCTGATCCAGAGCAAGTTCCGAAGCTACTATGAACAGAAGCGATTTCAGCAGAGCCGCAGAGCTGCTGTACTTATCCAGCAGCATTACCGCTCCTACCGTCGCCGGCCCTCAGGCCCCATGCCAGCGCTTAACAAGTATGGCCCTGGCCCTGAAACCCTCTGCTACCAGCTTTGTCTATGCTCACTTCCTGTTCCTCATCTGCCCTTCCCTACTGGGGTTCCTAAGAGGCAGAGGATATGGGATGCTTGGGTATTCCATGAACTCTCCTCATCTTAATTCTACCAGAAGCTCCTTTCTCACAAAGAAGCAGGACCAGGCAGCCCGTAAAATTATGAGATTCCTCCGGCGTTGCCGACACAGGTATTGATTCTTTCCCTCACTGGATTGTACCCTTCCACCTCCTCTGCCTCACCAGGCTCCTCTGACTCCTTCCTCAACTCTCCGCAGGATGAGGGAACTGAAGCAGAACCAGGAGCTGGAAGGGCTTCCCCAGCCAGGACTGGCCACCTGACCTCTCCACAGCCTTCTCACCACCCTGGGGACGCTTCTGGCAGTCTTAACTTGGAGAGGGCTTTCTGGGGCAGGGGGAATCCCCTGTCGGCAGCTTTCCCTTTCATCTTTGTTCGAACCTTTCGTGGGCCTCTCCCCTCCCCTTCCCAGCCCAAATTCCTACACCTCGCTCTTCCTCCCTCCTCTTTTGGTCCCTGACTCCAGAAAACCCTCGCCCCACATACCTGCATCTTCAGCTGTGACTTGCGGAGCCCTGCCTGCCCCTTTTCCACAGCTCTCTCCCTGCCTGCACCCGACTCCCCTCTTCCTGACTTGCCTTATTTATTTGTTCGACGCGTCTCTGAATGTATCTGCCTGGGTCCCCACCTTTGCCTTCGCTGCGCGCGCCCTAGTGTTTCGGGGCTAGTCAAGCCCCATCCCGACTCCGCATGTTTGCGTCTGTTTTCTACCTTCCTGGCCCTGTCTTACCCAGTCACCCCGACTCTGGCCACCCACCTCCGGGCCAAAGGGGAGGGGATGTACATAGGAACGCATTGCGGAGTCCCGCCCCCGTCCCCGAGGGGAGGGGGCTTGTACATACTGTAACATACAGAGTATAGTGAAGAATCTATTTAAGGCGCGGGGAGGTCTGTGCGGCAGGGGCCTGCCGCCAACTCCACGAGCACTTTCTACTTGTGCATGGGCTTGGTTTATACAAATTGCCATTAAACATCGCTGCACCAGCCAGTCTCTGGCCTCTATCTGCGGGGATCCGGGAAGGGGCCTCACCAACGGAGGGGGAGGTGCCACGCGTGCGGCAGGCCTCTGATCAGCGCACCAGCGGAGCGGGCGCGTACTTTTTTCGCCTCCGACGTGTTTCCGGCCTTAAAGGCATTTCGCCCTTCCCTTTAAGACGCACCGCCCCCTCTCAGTCACTCCCAAGATGGCGGACCTACTGGGCTCCATCCTGAGCTCTATGGAGAAGCCACCCAGCCTCGGTGACCAGGAGACTCGGCGCAAGGCCCGAGGTGAGGATCCCAAATTCACAACCGCCTTTCTTCGCTCGGTTCTCGGGACTGCAGTCTTCCTTATTTGGACGATGCCGCCTCCTGAACCCCGCAAGACCCCTCACAGGCCCCTTCTGAGACCCTCAGAGTCCCTAAAAGGGCTGCCGGCCCGCCCGCTGTCCTTAGCGGATGATGATTGGCTACCTAAAACCTGGCTCCAGCCTCCTGCCTCCTTTTCTTTGCCCTGGCCTTCCTCAGTCCTTGTTTCCAATTGGCCAATACGCCCGCCTGTCCGCTGCTGGCGAGTTCTGATTGGCAGAACGCCTCCAATCCTTCCTCATTCGTTCCTTTTTCGATTGGGGGATGGCGTGCTGCGTTTCCCGACCCCACCCACCTCCAAATCTATTCTGATTGGGTTCAGGACATGTTCATCTACAATCCTTTCACTGCTATTAGCTATCTCAACTTAAAGCTCTACCTCCTGAATGTTGTTGGATCTTCTTGACCCACCCCATCCTCAGCACCTCCCATTGGCTGCTAGGTCCTTTGCGTCCCTATGCTCCTCCTCCTTATTTTAACCCAGTACCTTCTGTCTGTCCAATAATCCTTTTCCCAACTGCAGCGTTAAATTCCCGAGCTGCCCAGGGGGATCGTGATGTTGATTGGAGGGATAAGAATGCCCCGGTGGGTCCGATTGGCCGTAGTCTCCCCGCCTGTGCTTTCCGAGTAGCTTCCCAGCACGCGGCCTCGAGTTCGGCAGCCAGCCTAGGGCGCGGCCCTGCGGGTTAGTAGAGGCCTCCCCAGGGTTGCTTGTGCTGCAGCTTGTTAAGTAGCCTAGCGGAAAGCCCGCCTTGGAGAGGACACCACCTCCAACCCTGGGGGTCCTGACTGAACGAGCTCGGTCCTAGCCACCAGATCCCCGTCTGCCCCAAGGACGCAGGGCAAGCAGAACGCCTCCAAAGTGCTCCAAGGTCCCCTATATCTAAATATTGCCCCTTATTTACTGAACGCCTACTAGGGGTGTTCCTCAAGGAGCGCGCAGTTCCGTCTGAGACGCTCATTTAATTGAAATGGTCACAAAGAACTTTAATAATGCATTGAATAAGTGCTTTGAAAAAAAAAAATATATTTTTATATGTATTTGAGAAAAAAATATATATTTATATTTGGCGGTCCTAACCTTGTCTGCAGCCAAGGTTTGAAGAATAGATTCAGTAAATGAGGTAAGAGTAGAGTGTTAACAGAGAATAAGTGTATTTGAAAGCTCTCAAAGGCAAGGAGCACATAGGGAAGGAGGAATTGGAATTATTTAATGCTCAGGATGACTGGATGATCACTAACAGCAGTTGATACACTAGGAAAATTCAGTTCAGTCACTTGCCTGAGATCACGTGATTAGTAAGTTACAGAGTTTCAAGCCCAGGTATGACTTTTAACCTCTGGTCTTTTATTATTTAAATTTTTTATATGCATTATCTATGGATCCCTTTTAAGTCTGAGATATTGACAAAAGACTATTCTATATGACGTGTTGTATTTTATATAATGTGTAGTATTCTTCTGTGTAGTGAATTTTCTGGAGCATTAAAAATGAATTAGCAGTCTAACAAGCTGCAGCACAAGCGGCTCAGGAAGCTGATACAGAAGGATCAGGAGTTCAAAGCCAGCCTCAGCAAAAGCAAGGAGCTAAGCAACTCAGAGAGACTCTGTCTCTAAATAAAATAGAAATAGGGCTGGGGATGTGGCTCAATGGTCGAGTGCCCCCTGAGTTCAATCCCCAGAACAAAAAAAAAATAATAACAATCAGCAGGGCCCTGCGCAGGGTTGCTCGCCTGAATCACAACAATTCAGGAGGCTGAAGCAGGAGGATCTCTAGTTCAAAGGCCGCCTCAGCAGATTAGTGAGGCACTTAGCAACTCAGGGAGACCCTGTCTCTAAAGAAAATATTTTTTAAAAAGGCTGGGGGTGCTGGGGTTATGGCTCAGTGGTGGAGCACTTGCTCACACATGTGAGGCACCGGTTTGATCCTCAGTACCACATAAAATAATAAATAAAGATACTTTGTCCATCTACAACTAAAATATATATATTATGTATATTTATATATAACATACTGTATGTGTGTGTATATGTATATATTTAAAAATATATATATTTAAAAATCTTTTTTAAAAAGGGCTGGGGATGTGGCTCAATGGTTAAGCATCCCTGGGTTCAATCCTCAGTACCAAAAAAAGAATTAGCGAGGGGTTTCCCCCATATTTTTTATATAGTTATTGAATTTCTTGTGTGTGCTCTTACATATTCTACAAAAACTGATAACTAAAAGCTTTTGAATATTATATACATTCAGAGGGCATTTATCCAATGTGCATTCTTACGTGGCTTTGAAAAGATGAGGGCCACCTAAGGCTTTCCATACTCTTTATATTCATGAGGCTTCTCTTTAGTGTGCATCCTTACATTTTTGCAGAGATTAAACCTATGTTATTAACTATAATCTTATACCACTTCCCCAGATGTAGAGAAGCCTGGAAAACCAGATAGAAAAAAAAAGCAGTAACCAAGATAGGATGGTTACTGATGACCAATAAGGTCAGAGGGATGAGAGCTTCGAGGCTGTTAGGTGTGGGGCCTGGAAGATAACTAGACAGAAGATTAACAGGGTCCCTGCCCTCCAGGAGCTCATAGTCTGGGAGGAAAGGCAAGCAAATAATAAGTTATAGTATGTTAGTTTTCAGTTTATGCTGTAGTGAGTATCTGAACCAAATATGCTTGGTAGAAGAAGTACCTCTGACTCATGGTGGATATCAATGTTTGCAAGAGGAGGAAAAGTATTCCAAGCATACGGAACAACAGGTGCAAAGGCACGGAATGATTAGAAGAATGGAAAAAGGTTTGTTGCAGCTGGAGGAGGGAATTCATATCCTGTGGAAGAAATGGACCTTAAGGATTTGAAACGGCGAGAGGTGAGGGTATGATATTTCAGGCTGAAGAGCAGAAGGAAGAAGGGATATGTGTTCAAATCTCAAGAGGCAATAAAATCACATCATGGGGGAAGAGAAGAATAAGGGCCCAGGTTAGGAAGGTAACCCCCTTGGGGCTGGGGATGTCACTTAGTGGTAGAGTTCATGTTTAGTGTGCTATAGACCCTAGGTTTGATCCCAGCACTGTGCGCACATGCAAGTCCCCACTCCTCCGGGGCACAGGGGATCTGATGTAAAGGCAGGATCTGAGGAAAGGGAGGAGAGTTTAATAAGACTCCAGGGTGGAAGTTCTGTTCCAGTTATACCTTGAACACCTATATCCTCAAAGGAGAAGAGTGTTAGATGAGCATTTCAGCCTTGTCCTGTCTGTAAAAGTGGGAAGTGGAGAGTACTTACAAAATATAGAAAGTTAAATCATTTCTCCTTTCCCATGAGACAATGAGATAATAAAATCAGAGGCCAGGGGCTTAGTCACCTTGCCTCCCCAGGTGCCTTACATTGTGGGCATTAAACAAATGTTCATTAGTTTTCCAGTAAGGTTGGTAAATGAGATTAAACATGATTCTGGTCTCTGTCAGATCTACTAAACTGTGAGCTCTTAAAGGACAAAATTGTGTTTGAATCGTCTTGGTACCCCAGGGCCTTTGCACAGTGCCAGGTATATAATAAACATCAGTAAATGCTTGGTGAATAAACAATAATCCACCTCCCACTGGACGCTAGACTTTCTTTGAAGCCTGACACACTCCCCACCCATGCTTCTAGCCCTGGCCTCATGCTGCCATTTCTCACCCCCAGAGCAGGCTGCCCGCCTGAAGAAACTACAAGAGCAAGAGAAACAACAGAAAGTGGAGTTTCGTAAAAGGGTGAGAACAACTGGAGAGATCAAAGGCAGCCTCTAGAAGGATTTCAAATAAGTTAGAGTTAAAAAGTTGAGGGCTCAGTTACATTGAAAATGTCTCAAGATGGGTTGGGGATATAGCTTAGTTGGTAGAGTGCTTTCCTCGCATGCACAAGGTCAGGGGTTCAATCCCCAGCACCATTAAAAAAAAAAAAAAAAGTCTCAAGCCTAAAAGCCAGTGGCATGAAGGCTGGGGAAGGTGTGGGGAGGCAATGAAAGGCCACTGGCCCAACTGGGGAAAGGGATATTTGGGTGGATCCATCTCTCATATCTTCTTCCCTTTCCTTCTCCCAAGATGGAGAAAGAGGTGTCAGATTTCATCCAAGACAGTGGGCAGATCAAGAAAAAGTTTGAGCCTATGAACAAGATAGAGAGGAGCATCCTGTGAGTGTGACTGGTTTGTGGGAGGCAGGAAACGGGGAGCATGAGGGTCAAGGGGGATCCCTCCAGAGGAGAACACTAAGCTCCCTTATGACTCAACAGTCTTTGTCTTGTGCCATCCCTTCCCAGACATGATGTAGTGGAAGTGGCTGGCCTGACATCCTTCTCCTTTGGGGAAGACAATGACTGTCGCTATGTCATGATCTTCAAAAAGGTAAAAGGCCTGAGCTTCTCACTCTCATCTCTTCCCTTTTCAGCCTGTTCCCCTGATACCTGGGGGAGAGGCATGAGATTAAACACTGTATGGACTCCTGACTCCATTATTCTCTTCTTCCCAGGAGTTTGCACCCTCAGATGAAGAGCTGGACTCCTACCGTCATGGAGAGGAGTGGGACCCCCAGAAGGCAGAAGAGAAACGGAAGCTGAAGGTGAGCTGTGCCTGGCAGCTGCAGTCCATTAGCCTGAAGCCCTGCAGCCCTGCAGCCCATTAGCCTCACCTGGAAGGGGTCAGGGTCAGGGTCAGCCTCCTGAGCACCGAGCACCAGTGCCCCACCTTTGTGCCCCTAGGAGCTGGCTCAGCAGCAGGAGGAAGAGGCAGCCCAACAGGGACCTGCAGTGGTGAGCCCTGCCAGTGACTACAAGGACAAGTACAGCCACCTCATTGGCAAAGGAGCAGCCAAGGATGCGGCCCACATGCTACAAGCCAACAAGGCCTATGGCTGTGGTGAGCCATAGTGGGGCTAGGGGAAACCTGGGGAGCAGAGCACAGGATGGGAGGGGAGTGGAGGCTGATGTTCTGTCCACCTTCCCGTCCTCCCCCAGTGCCTGTGGCCAACAAGAGGGACACACGCTCCATTGAAGAGGCCATGAATGAGATCCGAGCCAAGAAGCGTCTGCGGCAGAGTGGGGAAGAGTTGCCAACTACCTCCTAGGCTCCCCACCCAGCACCCTTTGACCTCTGGGCAGGACAGGAGGCAGGGAGGGACAAGGCTGCTGCTATTAGGACCCATCCTGGAGCCCCACCTCCTAACCGCCTCCTGCCAGCTGTCACTCAGGCTGGGGGGAAGCAGGTGTTCGATGTGTCACTGTTGGAGCTTGGATATGTATGTGGTGTGTGTGTTTGTGTGAAAGAAGAGTGTGAATGTGTAGGTGGGTATTTAATCTGTATTATTCTTTGTTCTTCTTGGAACTTCCTTCCCCATGGGGCTGGGGTTACTTTACATTCAATAAACACTTTTTGACCCAATGTCCTGGTTTGTTTATACATAAAAAAGTAGGTCCTAGAGCTACTGCAAAGAAGAGGAGAAACAATTTCAGTACACAGGATACAGTTTCTATTGGTGAAAGTCAAAGGTGGCCAACTATTGGCACTATTGTTGAGAGCACGATTGCTGGAGCCAAATGGCCTGCCAACTGTTAACTCTGCAATTTTGGGTAAGGGATTTTTTTTTAACTTTATGTGCCTCATTTTCCTCACCCATAAAAATGGGGTAATATGATAACTGTCTGGCAGGATTACGTAAATTGATATAATTACCGAGAATACTTCCAAAATTTTATTTTTTCATACTTGGGATTGAACTCAGGGGTGCTCTATCACTAAGTGATTCCTCCAGCCTTTTTTATTTTATTTTAAGACAGGGTCTTGCTAAGCTGACAAGGCTAGCCTTGAACTTGCAATCCTCCTGCCTCAGCCTCCCAAGAAGCTTGAGATTACAAGCATGTGCTTCCATAGCCTTGTAAGCCCTGAAGTAGCAGCTGCTCTCATTATCATTCATCCTCACAAAGCAGTATGGCTGTGGCCTTTTCTCCACAGTATAATCTCAGGCCATTTAATGCAGCTCAGTGACAGGCCTACCCCAGCTGCCCCCTCACAGTGGTGGCAGGACCTTCAGTGCTGCTCTAGAGCAGATTCACTAGAGCTGATTCCTTGCTACATCAGCACCTCTTGAGCTGCATTTCACATACGGGACTGGCTTTCCCCAGCTTCCTTCCAAAGTGTGAACTTCTCTGTTCTAGATCCACCCAGCTTCCTCTGGAGGGCCTCACTTCCTCCTGTCTTAGCAGGTTACACATCTGTTCTCTGCTTCCCTTCCCTCCCCCAACCTGTCCACCTTCTGTCTTTCCCAGCTCAAAGCGTCTCCTTTTTCCCTCCCACAAACACACACACTATGATCTACTTTGGCACCAGTGTTTATTTCATGGGAAAGGGCTTGGAGGCCTGGGTCTGTCCAGTGGGTTCCTTGGGCCTCCAGCTTCTCACTTGGCCTTTGGATTACGGAACTTTCGTCCAGCAAAGACAGCTTTGTCCCCAAGAGCCTCCTCAATCCTATAACACAAAAGTCAGAGCTGCCACCTTCCCACCTAGTAGACCCCAGCTCCCCAATGTCCAGGCCACTGTCCCAGCTGTACCTCATGAGTTGGTTGTATTTGGCCAGACGTTCTGAGCGGCAAGGGGCACCAGTCTTGATCTGGGATAGCAAGTAGGATTTGGAAGGTTGGGTGAGGTTGGAGAGGTTAAGCTTGGCCCCAAGGGAACAGCCTATGGTAGCATGCAATTCAGGGGCAGGCAGAGAACCCCAAGAACACTTGGTCAAATCCTGAGTACCTGTCCTGTGCAGAGGCCCACCACGAGATCAGCAATGAATGTGTCTTCAGTCTCCCCAGAGCGGTGGCTCACCATTACCCCCCAGCCGTTAGACTGAGCCAGTTTGCAGCTGAATAGAGGAGGATATTTAGTGAGGTCTTGTGTGACCTCCTCAGTGGGAAAGCTAGGGGCTATGTAGGGCTTTTCCCTTCTGCTTTTGGTAGTGGGCATGTTGCAGAGAAGACAGCGACTAAGTTCTTTGGGAAGTAGGAGAGAAGAGATTTCTGGTCTTGACTAGGGCTCCTGAGATGCTCCTAGAGAGAACAGAACTTTGGAGACAAGAATGGATAGGCTGGGGAGGAAGAACAAGGCAGGGCCAGAGCAGTAAAGTGGGTCAAGCCAACTGTTAGTTAAAGCCTTGAAGACAAGAAGATATGGGTGAAGCTGGGTGGGTAATGGCACACGCCTGTAATTCTAGTGGCCCAGGAAGTTGAGGCAGGAGGATCACAAGTTCAAGCCGGCCTCAAAATAAAAAATTAAAAGGGCTGGATTTGTCGCTCAATGGTTAAGCATTCCTGAGTTCAATCCCCAGAATAAAATTAAAAAGAAGGTATAGGTGAGGCGAGGATGTAGCTCAGTGGTAGAGCACTTGCCTAGCATGTGCAAGGCCCTGGGTTCCATCACCAGTACCACAAAAATAAAAGAAAAAGAAAATGGTGTGGGTGGGTCAGGTGCTAGGGAAAGGTAGACTTGGATTAATGGTCAAGACTTGATAGAGTGGGCCGAGCTAGGGCAGAGGGTGGCCATGGTGAGCCCCAGAGTCAGGAGGCACTTACGCCTGGATGGATTCAGTCACTGAGCCGATCTGGTTGACCTTCAGCAGTAGGCAGTTGCAGGCCTTCTTCTCAACGGCCTGGGCAATCCTCTTGGGGTTGGTGACCGTCAGGTCATCCCCCACGATCTGGATGTTCACCCCCGAGAGGAATGAGGTCCATGTGGCCCAGTCATCCTGGTCAAAGGGGTCCTCAATGGAGACCACTAGTGAGGGTAGAGGGCAGTCAGAGTTAGTCAGAATGCACCTCTTGGGAAGATGACAGATAACAGAATCTAGATTGGGACTGACCTGGGGCTGAGGATTGGAAGGACCTGAGTCATGGCAAAGCAGGGCACTAATATCAGTGCATTAGACAATTGCAGGGGACTTGGGCAGACCATGGGAACACCTTGAATTCCACTGAGATACATCCTCAGTCTTTTATAGTTTTTAAAATTTTGGGACAGGGTCTTGCTAAATTGCCCTTGAACTTGTTTTTTTTTTTTTTTTTCTTTTTGAGCATAAGAATAGGATCTATTCAAGTGAGAAGAAAAGAGACTGAGTTCCCACAGGACCCAACAGGGGTTGCCCTAGCCTTAAGCATTCAATCCTCTTGCCTCAACCTCCCAAGTAGCCAGGATTACAGGGATGCACACGGCGCCTGGCTCACCAGGATAGTTTTTGATGAAGCTCTTGTAAAGTTCTCCAAGCTTCTCCCCTGTGATGTGCCGGGCAGGATCATCAGGTGACTTGAAGTCAAGGTCATACTTCCCATTGCGATAGAATTCAGATGCCGCCACATCCATGCCAATCACCACCTTGTCTGGATAACCAGCTGCCTGAATGGCTGTCTTCAGCAGCTCCAGGGCTGGGAGGGGAGCAAGAGAAGAACTGAGATTCCAGTGCCCTTTGTCTCTGAACCCTTTCCTCCCCTTCCCCAGGAATCCAGGGGTTTTGTACCCCAGGGTGCTCAGCTCCTACCCTCATTGTTCTCCAGGATGTTGGGTGCGAAGCCGCCCTCGTCCCCCACATTGGTGGCATCTTTCCCATACTTGGACTTGATGACCCCCTTGAGGTGGTGGTAGACTTCGGCACCAATGCGCATGGCTTCCTTGAAGGAACTGGCTCCCACAGGCAGAATCATGAACTCCTGCATGGCCAGCTTGTTTCCAGCATGGGAGCCCCCATTGATCACATTGAAGGCCTGAGATGTGGAGAGGGTACTCAGACCTGGGGCATGAGGGATCAAGCTGGGCTGGGTACACAAGACTGAACACTGGCTTCCCTACTTACTAGCTGAATGGTCTAAAATGAGTAATTTTCCTCCTCAGAGCCTTTTTTTTTTTTTGGTACTGGGGATTGAACTCAGGGGCACTCGACCACTGAGCCACAACCCCAGCCGCATGTTGTATTTTATTTAGAGACAGAGTTGCTTAGCACCTCGCTTTAGCTAAAGCTGGCTTTGAAATCCTGATCCTCCTGCCTCAGTCTCCCAAGCCCTTGGGATTATAGGCCTGTGCCACCATGCCCGGCATCAGAGCTGTTCCCCCTCCTTTCTAAAAAATGGGGATAACACTAATTTCCCTATAGGATATTTTTTTTTCTTTTTTGGTATTATTGGGGATTGAACCCAAGGCCTAGTGCATATTAGGCAAGTGCTCCACCAATGAGCCACATCCCCAGCCCTTTTTATTTCAGAGACGATGTCTTACTAAATTGACCAGGCCCTGATGATCCTCCTGCCTCAGCCACCCATGTAGCAGGGATTATAGGTGTATGTCACCATGCCTGGCCCTGTAGGATCTTTTGCTAAAAATTAGAGAAACTGAATATAAAATTCTTAGTGTGTTTCTGGTATATAAGAGTGAACACTCTTTATTTCACCCCTCTTGGGACTGAAACTGGGCCTTGCACATGCTAGACAAATGCTCTATCACTGAGCTACATCCCCAGCTATTTTTATTTTTGAGACAGAGTCTCACTATGTTGACCAAACTGGCCCCAAACTTTTGATCCTCCTACCTCAGTCTCCTGAGTAGTTGGCTAAATAGCTGAAACTTTCATGGCACTGTTCTAAGAGCTTTACATAAATTAACTCAAAACCTAATTTACATGAATTCTCAAAACACCTCTATTAGCTGAGTACTACTATTACTTTCCACTTTATAGAGGAGGAAACTGAGGCATAGAGAGGTTAAATAATTTGCCTAAAATCACACAACTAATAAATATGCAAGGCCAGGTTTAGAACCCAGCAGTTCCTCTCTGGAGTCCATACACTTACACAATCTTCCTAATAAGTAACAGTAAATGGTAACATTATTATTGAGATTAAATTCAAAGGGTTTCCATTAAGAGGGCATTGGTTTAATAAGGACTTGAGAGATACAAAGAAAATGCCAAGTTCCTTGCCATGAAGAAGCTCTCTATCTAATGGGGGCTGGAGGAGCAAGGGTAAAATGAGGTCAGAGTTATGGAGCCTGGGATTGGAATGTGAAGGAACCAGGTTACACAGCCAGGAAAGGAAGCAGAGGGGCTTAGGGAATGTTTGGATTGTGGGAAAGGAGGGGCTAGAGCGTTAGCGCAGCTGAGGAGTTTGGATTTCAGGAAACCACTTCTTTGGAGCAGGATCCGAAAGGTAGATTTTCCAAAGGCTGCTTAAGTACCCCTCCTTGGGTGGGGGCAGTACTGACAACCTGGGATTTGGCAGTAGCTACCACACTCACAGGCACTGGGAGTACGAGGTCAGGGTTCCCTGCAAGATCTGCGATGTGTCGGTAAAGCGGGACGCCCTTCTCGGCTGCTCCAGCCTTACACACGGCCAAGGACACGCCCAGGATGGCATTGGCCCCAAATTTGGCTGAAAGGAAGAAAGTGGGAAAGAAGGATGAGAGCTTTCCCTGCAGGGTTTGGCATTATTTCCTTGAACATCCCCTTTGGTCACCCCAGAGAGAATCTAAAGCTCCAAACCACTGAGCATTTAAAGTTTGTTAACAGATCTCTCCCCAGTAGCCTGAAGGAGCTCTGAGAGTCCCCACCCCAGGGGGATGTGTCAGCTTCGCATCTGTCCACAACCAGCCCAGGCTTGGCAGAGGACAGACCTCAGGAAATGCCTGTGGAATGAATAAAAAAGCCATCCAGCTCTGGTGTACCCCAGAATATGGGATGCAGAAAGAGCCCAAGCCAGACCTCAGCCTCTGGGGTCTGTCTACCCATCTCACACCCCATTCCTTCCCCACCTCTGGCCTTTCACTCACACTTATTCTCAGTCCCATCCAGCTCAATCATAAATTTGTCAACTTTTTCTTGATCCACAACACTTAATTTCTGGAAAGACAGGTTTGAGGAGGAGAGGACAGAGGTCAGATTTTTCAGGAGTCAGTGTATGTGCAGAAGGAAGGACAAATGAAAATATTTGGGGGAGAGGAACTGCCTGGGTGAGGCTCAGGAGCACAGACGGGAGGGAAGGGGGAGCTGGCTTCAAAACTTGCCTTTTCCAGCAGAGCAGGGCCCAGAGTCTTATTGATGTGCTCCACAGCCTTTAGTACTCCTAAAGGGCCGAAGAAGGAGGTTCAGATTTCTAAGTCAACCAGAGCGCTTCCCATGTACCCCATCTTCTTAAGGATTTTGGGTTCCAGTCCTCTATCCCTGTGTGCCCATGTCCTGAAAACACCCACACAGGTTCTTGCGTAGGCCTTAGCTTACCTTTCCCTAGATATCGTGATTTGTCTCCATCTCTCAGTTCCAGAGCTTCATAGATACCTGTGGAAGCTCCGCTGGGCACAGCTGCTCGGAATCGACCTGAGGCAAGAGGGATTGGAAGATCACAGAGTTCCACCCACCCTCTCACCCACCACAAAGGGCTGAGTTCTCCTCCCTGAGTCCAGGGAGAGGAGACATTGTGAGAGACTCCCTCTTCTCCCAGCTCCAGGGCCAAGTTGGAAAAAGAGGGCCTGGGGAAAAGTCTGGGGAGGGGGACCTCAGAGAAAGAACAGGTTGTAGTATGGAGCTGGGGGACAAAGGGCACATGCGGTTGGAATCTTCAGAAGCAAATCAATTCGATGGGCCTGTGTTACCCTTGGCAGTGTACAGGTCCACCTCCACCGTGGGGTTACCCCTGGAGTCCAGGATTTCCCGGGCAAAGATTTTCTGCATGGCCATGGCTGCACAACAAGAGGTGAGTGTGGACAGTTGATCCCTTGGGGAACCAGAAATCCCTTGCCCTTTAAGAGTCTTCCCCACCCCAAGAAGGCAGGTGCTGGAGCTAAAAATACCCCATAAAAAGGTCACAGACCAGAGAGACAGGCACAGCCCCCTCCCCCACTCAGAACAGCTCCTATTGCACCTTCCTATCCTAAGAATTCAGGGGCCTCTCTGCCTTGTAACTCCTCAGATTGCACCACTCCCTGAGCCCCCACCTCCCCCCAAAGCTGCACTTGCGCCTCTCCTTCCTTCTTCTTCTCAAGTAATCTGTTCCTAGTGAAACTGGAGTTTTCCTCTATTATTCTTATTTTTCTGCTCCTAAATCCTGGCAGGCCCCAAATTCTCTACCAGGCTCCAACTCTTAACCACGCTTCTCTATTCATCCCTACTCTCTTTACAGCTTCCTTTCTCCATATCCTTGGGTACTCCAGTGTTTGTGCATACTGCTTACTCTAGCCCCACCACTCTCTTTCAAGCTCTCCCCAGTCCCAAGAGAAAAAGAGATGAAATTTCCCCCACTTCTCTAAAGGGGAACCACCCGCATCTCCACACCCTGGAGCTGTAAGTTTCACCAGACCTGGGATGTCTTCCCTGGGGCTTTGGATGGAGCTCCAAGTTAGATGGCAGCTGGGACAGTGTCAGCTCACCCCTTCTCAGGCTGGGCATTTATCCCCTGCCACCCTGTCCCCCAGCCAGCCCCGCCTCTCTCACTCCATCCTCCCTCCTCCACACTGGGCTGGCAGCCAAGTGCCCACTACTGCCTAAAGCAGCCTTTGGCCCTCGGGACCTGCCCCCTTCCCAAAGATTAATGACTACCCTTCCCGTTCTCTGTGTCCCCCAATAAAGTTCCTATTTTTAATTCCACCCCTTGAGAGGTGCAAAGGAGGGGATTCAGACTGGGGGGTCTCTCTCATCCCCAGGATTATATTCCCCTTTTGCAAAGGTTAAAGAGGAACTAGTGCCCTTTAGGAAAGGCCAGGGGTAACCTGAACCCTGCAGGGCTGGGGAGGGGGCCTGGACGAGGGGCTGCAGGATTGACATTCACAGGAGCTCAGCTCATCAGCAGGACTCCGCCCACAGCAGGGGGAAGGGACTGGAGATGGTGGGCAAGGTCTTAAGTGGAAACCCCCCACTCACCCACAAGGCGAGAACGCCTCACCTTTTAGGGTCCTCTTAAGGCGCCACCCCATCCTAACTCTCTCCTGGCCAGCGAAGGCGGGGGGGGGGGGGTTAAGGAAGGAGGCCGGTAGACGAATTTAGACTGGCCCTGAGAGCTGGCCCAGCGCCCGACTGATAGTGCTGGGACAGCATTTGTTGTCCACTGCGGATCTTTTCGGTCAGGAACCCCTTTTCATATAGACTATGAGTGCTTCAACGCGCGGCCCCTGCCCATCAATGAATGGTGTTAAATCAGGAGTGAAAGAAATGAATGAATGGGAGAAGGGGATGGCTCTTTGTAAGCATCTGGACGCCTGGGGCCGGTCCTACTGACTGCTTGCAGCACTGCAGGAAGTTAGTTTCTGCACTTGGTAACTCCGCCTTGCCGGGTATCGGGGGAATGTGGGGTCTGCCCCAAGTTTTCCAGCAGCCCGGGCTGGTCGGCGGGCGCGAATCACTGGGCGCCTCGCTCCAAGTGAGAGGCCACACCCGCCGGCGCCCGATCGGCTGGGGCCGGGTGACTCACTTCTGCAGCCCTCTCCCGAGCTCTCCTCCCTGCCCTGCCTGCCCCGCGGGGTCAGCCTCCCCGCCCCCACCCCAGGAACCTTACCTACCCCCCATCTCCCATCTTGTCCCTCCCCGCTTATCTCGGGCCACTCCCTCCAGGATTTTTCCACCCTGGGGTGGAAGGTGCGCGGGTCAGAGTTCAGGAGATGGCGGGCGGGGAGGGCCGCCACGTGCCGGAGCGCGGCCCCGCGCGAGCCCGTCAGTGACTCAGCCACGCGGCTGTCAAGGAACACAAGTTCGGGGGTCGTCAGAATCCAGAGATTCGAGATGGATGCTAGGGGACCGCAGTCCGCCCTGAAAGACCAGAGAGAAACGGACCCTTGTCCCCCTCCGGAGGCGCGCCGAGTATCCTCGGCGCCCCTCCCCAAGGGACCGGAAGCGGCCAAGCCCCTCAGGAGCGAGGGTTTGGATGGGCTAAGTCGCCGAAGCCATCAGCATCTCCTTCACGTTTGGCGGCGAGCAACTGATCGCACACAAGTACTTTTTGGCATAAGTTTTATTGTAAAAGAATAACCCAATAAGCCCCAAGTAGAAGGGATTCTCGTCTTATTGAAAAAAGTTGCCAACCTTGGAACTTTAGTATTCTTCCGCTTCGAAAAATTAGTCCCTACCGTCTGGTCCCGCGGGCACCCGCACTCAGTGACCTAGGCAGAGACAGACCAAGGGGCATGGCCAGTGACCTGAACCGCTGGCTCAGGGACGGGCAGGGCTGGGACTTGGGGCGAGGCCCTGGGCTGAGCCGATCCAGGGAAGGGATAATCCCCTGGAGTGGGATGCTCTCGAATGAGACCAATCTGTGCTGGGGACAAGTGCCCCAGGTGGCCACCTTTAGCCCTTCTGAAAACGGCCTGGTATTTTGTCAAATTCCTTCTAGCTCGCATTGCTTAAATAAGTAATATTAAGAGTGGAGAGGTGGCAGCGCGCACGCCTACGCTCCCGCCCCTTCCGCCTGGCGGGAGACACGTACCCGGCCCGCCCGCCTTCCTTCCCAAGAAGGTCCCTATCCGTCTGGCCCGGCGCGCGCCCGCGCAGCCGGCCGTCAGCCCCAACCGCCCCACGCGCCATTCCTCCCTGCCCCGGCGCAGGCGCGGGCGCACGCGCCGCCGCCGCCCGCCGTTCCTTCCCTCCGGCGGAGGTGGGGGAAGGAGGAGTCGTTCTGTTTAACCCCGGGGGTTCCCCGAACTCTCTTTAATTTGCTCAATTTGCATTTTGCTAAATCTTCCTTTCTCTTTTACGTTCTCTGGCTCACCCCTTTCCCCTATACCAAAGTCTGGTTTGTATTCAATGCCGACTGGGGCAAGACCTAATCTTATCCTTTCCCCCGCCACCCCCCACCCCCGGCCATTTTCATAGCTTTCCATCGAACTCTGCAAATTTTGCAATAGGGGGAGGGATTTTTAAAATTGCATTTGCAAAGTTCGGTATCTGGGCAGACGGGGGGAGGGAGAGAATGGGGAGCAGGCCCCGCCCCTACCGCCCTTTGCAAATAAAAATCCAGAGGGGGGGGGAGGAGCAGGAAGTGGCGGTGCGAGGGCTGCTGCACAGCTAGCAGAGCCGCGGTCCGGACGGTAGCGCGTGCCCCGAGCTCTCCGCCTTCCCCCGCCCGCCAGTCCGAGGCAGCCCGAGCCCAGCCCGCGGCCCCAGCAGCATCGCCGAGAGCAGTCCCAGCAGCAGCGCCATGGCCGGGTGGAACGCCTACATCGACAACCTCATGGCGGACGGGACCTGTCAGGACGCGGCCATCGTGGGCTACAAGGACTCGCCCTCCGTCTGGGCCGCCGTCCCCGGGAAAACCTTCGTCAACATTACGGTACTGCGAGGCTTGCGCGGTTCGGGGCACTGACTGGCCTTGGATCCTGAGGAAGGGACTTGGGTGGGGGCGGGCGCGGTCTAGGAAGAGCAGCGAAAAGCCGTGACCGGGTGCCTTCCCTGGAAGCGGCGCGAATGGCGGCTGCACGTGAGCAGGTCCCTCAGTGCCCCCCAGTCCTACGCCCCTGGCGGCGGTGCCCATCCCTCCCGTTCGGCGCCCCGTTTTATGCGACGGGGCGTTACATCCGGGGCACACAGGGCGGGGAGGGGCGCGCCGCCCGGTGCGGCGGCCCACTTCCGCCTCTTATAGGGCGGGGCGGGCACGCGCTGCAATTTTAACTGGGGATTGTGATTGAGACGGGACTTGGAGCCCCCCTGACTTTTTGAGGCTGTGAACTCATGTCTCCTTCACCATTGTTTCCCATTATGCGGGTGGGAGACCCGGCGCATGGCCTTGGGCCCATGCTTGTCCTCCGTGGGTTCCTTGCCCCTCCCAATCCCGTTAGAGAGGGCGAGGCCGCCACACACACCCCCAATTCGGCATGTTGGCCTCAACCTTCCTATGAGGCCAATCCCGGAAGTCCCCTCGCCCTCCCTTCCCGCCATCCGGCGGGGCCTATGGCAGAGGAACTTTATGAGAAGTTCTGAGGTGGTATAAGTCAAGGAATAAGGGATGACTACTGCTGTTTCCACCATCACTACATCTTGGCCACACTGCCCGGAAGTGGGGAGGGGTAGCGGAAGTTCGAAAGGGGGGGAAGGGGATTTCCGGGCGGGAGGGGACCGGATATAGGGGTTTGGGGTTTAAGGGGGAGGAGGAGAAAGGTTCCCTGGGGTATCTAGACCCGAGAATTGAGCTTGCCAATTCTGTTTAACCACCCCCTTCAAAACTTTTCCTACTTCCTGGAAAGCCCCCAGGGTCTGTTTCCTCATCTTGAGACAGATACCTGGATCTAAACTCTTAGGTTATTTGGAGACCCAGGCGTCCGGGTTCCTAACATCTGCAGAACCTTTGACCAAATAAGGGCAAAGTTGCTTTCTCTTGCTTTGCCCGCCCCTTCCCTTCCCCTCTCCGCTTCTGCTTTTCCTGAAGGAGAGTTCTGAGCATCCAAAGGTTCCCCACTTTCCTTACTGGCTTTTGGCCCCCTTATATTTCCTGAATTTACTTTCCATATGAAAACACTGAGATCTGCTTCTTAAGAGGAATATGTTATCCCTTCATCCCTGGTCCCATTTAGAGGGTTTGAGGATCATGCTCTTTTTCTGAAACAACTTTCCACAGTACTGAATTTCTGATTTCATTGACCAAGATATAGCTCCCAAAGCAGTAGGAGGAGGTAGGTTTCTAGAGAACAAAGTGAAGAACTTGGTGCATTATCTTCATGGGTGCTCGATTCCTCTTCTAGCCAGCTGAGGTTGGTGTCCTGGTTGGCAAAGACCGGTCAAGTTTTTTCGTGAATGGGCTGACACTTGGGGGCCAGAAATGTTCTGTGATCCGGGACTCACTGCTGCAGGATGGGGAATTTACCATGGATCTTCGTACCAAGAGCACCGGTGGAGCCCCCACCTTCAATGTCACTGTCACCATGACTGCCAAGAGTGAGTTTCTCTATTTTATCCTTCTTCTACATCTGAGATATACCTAATGTACCTCTTTCCATTCATCTTGGGGACTTTTTCTGTGTGACTTTGTTTTTAAGAGGGTCCAACCAGTGTTCTACTCCCTATCTGCTAGAAGCCTGGATAGTCCCTTTAGTTCCAGTTCTGTCTCAGTTCCTCATCTTATGAAGAAGTTGAACTGCATTGCCTTTTTTTTTTTCTTTCTTTCTTTCAGTACTGAGGATTGGACCCTGGGGTGCTTTACCACTCGGTTGCATCCCAAGTTCTCTTGACTTTGAGACAGTGTTGCTAAGTTGCCCAGGCTGGCCTCAAACTTGCAATCCTCCTGCCTCAGCCTCCCAAATTGCTGGGATCACAGGCATATGCCACTGCCACTGGCCCCTATATTACCTTTTTAGTTCTTTCTTGCCTTGAGCTTTTTTTAAAGTAGAAACTCGTTTTATTAGAGTAGGTAGATTGTTTGGATCCTAAGCCAGCATTTAGTTCTGATCTTTTCAGCTCTTCCTTAATCACTTCTGGCCTGAACACAGGAGTCTAGAGTCTGAGCTTTGACCCCTAAATTTTAGTTTGTTCCTCTCTAGCCTTTAAGCTTGATTTTTCTCCTTTGAAAAGCCCTATTGTTTCAGGTTGACTGACAGCCTGCCTGTGTGGGGGGGGGTTGGGAGGGATGAGGTTGGGTTACAGCCCCCAGGGCTGGACAGCTGCTGAACAGCTGGCAGAGGGGGTGGAATTGTGACACCTGGGTCCTAGCCTCCTTTCTCTTTCCTCCAGCGCTAGTCCTGCTGATGGGCAAAGAAGGTGTCCACGGTGGTTTGATCAACAAGAAATGTTATGAAATGGCTTCCCACCTGCGGCGTGCCCAGTACTGACCTCTTCTGTCCCTTCCCTCACCACTCCCCACAGCTTTTGCACCCCCTCCTTCCCATACACAGACACCATTTTTATTTTTTGGGCCATTACCCCATATCCCTTATTGCTGCCAAAACCACGGGCTGGGGCTGGGGCTGGGGCCGGGGCTGGATGGAAAGATACCTCCCCCTTACCCATACTCCTCCTGTGTGTGGTTGGAAAAATTTTTTTCTCATTTTTTTTGTGTTTTGGATTTTTTGTTCTTTTTTTTTTTTTTGGTTTTGTTTTTTTTTCTGAATAAAAAAGATTCTACTAACAAGATGCTGTATGATTTGAGGTTAGGTATCAGAAGAGGGGACAAGCAATGTGACCTGTCTACTTGGAACCTTGCTCAGGGTTGGGAACAGGATTGAGGCACTATTAAGTCCAGGTATTTCAGCTTTCTGCTCTTTATACCCCCATGTCCAGGCCTTTCTACCTGCCTCAGGTATCTGTCCAGGTGGCCTGCCTTCTCCACAGTGGTATTTTCAGGCCTAGGTCCTCAAGTGAATGCTAGTTGAATTGGTAGATAATGGAATAAAGCCATTCAGACCAGAGAATGGGTCCAAGCCTGCAGGGCAAGGCAAGGCCAGTTAGTTGAGTCATCCTCTTTTGTAGGTGGGGCTCCCTCTCTCTGAGTCACAGCAAATGCTTGTTGGGGCTGTCCCCATGACTACAGGTTAGTCTGTTCCAATGTTCCCCTGTCCCTTTATAGTAGAAAAAAGCATAAGAAATTAACCTGTGTGGGGGCTGTGGATGTAGATCAGTGATAAGAGTGCTTACCTAGCAAGCACAAAGCCCTGGATTCAATCCCTAGCACCTCAGGGTGGAAAAAAAAGATTAACCTGAGTGAAAATGACCTTCCCGTTTCTTAGTCCACAAAAACAATTTTATTAACCCGTGTGAAGACCCAAATCCCCTTTGACCTTCCCAAATATACAACCCCTCAGAAGGATGGGGCCATTTCCAGCCTAGGTGTCTCCCTTATCAGAATTTAGAAGACCGGAAGAAGAGGGCCTGTGCAAATAGGTCACCAGAAATGCCAAGTGTTGGGGGAGTATTAGACAAGTATGGCAGAGGAAGAAGAGGAGGAGGAAGGAGAAGGTGGGGGATCTGTTGAGGGTCCAGGAAAAACAAGGGGGGCTGGAGCTAGGGAGCCAAAAGAAGTAGGAAGAGTGGGGCTAGAACCCAGGAGTGGGGTCCGTTCTGAGGCAGGGTGGTCCCTTGGCTCCCCCTCCTCATCGCCTTCTTCATGCCGCTGAGTCTCTTCCTCATCCTCGTCCCCAGGACCCCGATGAACAGGCTGCTTGCAGATGGGGCAGGTCTTGCGGGTCTGAGTGAGCCAGGGGTCCACACAGCGGCTGTGATAGGCTATGGAGAGGAATGAGTTGAGGTACCCTACCTAGTGCCTTGGTGGTAGTGGTGGGGGCTTTGCACACAGGCAGTGAGGGCCTTACCATGGGCACAGGGGAGTACCCGAAGCTTGTCCCCATCTTCATATTCATCCAGGCAAATGGCACAGACATCATACTGGTCTCCTGAAGTAGAAAAAGGAATCTAGTCCTTAACTAAGCCATTCTGAACTGGGCTCACAAGAACTCTAGAAGGCCTGTGGTAGATCTAAGCCCTTCAAAAAAGTGTTCCCTGATTCTACAGACAGTGGAAGAGTTGAGCAGAATAAAGGCCAGGGTAGAACATGAAAGATTTTGGGTGGAGGGGACAAGCACAGAGAAGGGAAGTGGGTTTAGGGGGAGGTGATGTGAGGGTGGAGAGATGGAGTGGGAGGAGTAGAAACGGGCAGGACTTCTGCTATAGCCTTATATGGGCACTGAGGGCTCTAAGGCCTTAATACTCAACCCTACCAGTTTCTTCTGACTGAATCCTCAGCACTTTACATTTTCTGCCCTCACTTCCTCTTACTTGTTAAGGTGTGTCATTCCATGTTTCCACCTATTCCACCTTAGTCCTCTATGGTTTCCATTTCATGCTCTTACTTCCCTCTCCTGTCTTCATCATTTGGGAGTAAAGAGGATAACATCTCAGGTTGACTCCTTCTTACTGCCATCTTTGTACCCCTTATCTACTGGTATCTAACTCCTTCA